GTGTATGCCATGAGTCATGAGTGTCCCTACCATGTAGTGGGATGTGTCTAGGGACACTCCAAACATGCACATGGCAGTCTCCAAGAACAGATTAGCACATGATCTGAAACTTCAATAGTGCTGTGATAAGGAAGGCCCGCTCCAGGCCAGTAAATGCTTTGAAGCAACCTGCTGAGCATGACTGTGTCCACTCTTGGCGTTGCCATTCGTGAAGATATAACTTGTCAGACACAGTGTTGCCTTCCTTTTTCCTCTCAATATTCTAATAAACCTTTGGAGGCAAGTCTCAAACTTTCCTTTTGCTTACGAGGAAACTTACCTTTGGAGCGGTTAAGTGAACTGTTCCAATCATGAAACGGTGGAGGACAAAATGTGGATACAAAGTGTAGGAAGCAGTTACCATGCCGCCTTCTTTCCCCTCGGAGTTCAGAACCTGCTGCCCAGACACACCTCTCTACCTTACTAATTGTTCTGAGTTGGAGACACAAGAAAAGAAAGAGTACAAGAGCAAAAGAAGTTGGAGACATGATTCCTTTTTTCTTTGAAAAAAAAAAAAAAAGATTTGTTTTCATAGAGTGTATTCTGGTTACAATTTCTCCCCCTCCAAGTCCCTCCACATGACTCCAGCTCCCCACTCACTCAAATTCTCACCCCTTATTTATATTATTAGTGCACAAACAGGCCTCTAAGAAACACGAGTAAAATAATATAAAATTAATTAAGGTAAAATAAAAACAAACAGGAATAGGATAAAGCAAACAATCTACCAGAAGAAAAAGAGTTAACAACAACAGAAAAGCATGAGAAGCTCACAATGCAAAGATACATACATTTGCACACATAGAAATCCCATTTAAAAATAAAAACAACAACCAAAAACACCAGAAAATATCATATGTACTCAAAGAACCTGTCAGGGGGAGGAGAGGAGGCCTAGACAAAGCATTATGAGACAAAGAACCTCCAAAAGCACCGGTGAGCTTGTTTTATGTTGGCAATCTACTAATGGGCCTGGGGTCTGTCCATAGAGAGGTTTGTATACCCACTGGAATTTCATTGGAAAAAACTTTTTTTTACCTTTGTGAGTGGTTCTCAACTGGAGATAGCTGCTGAGTTAGAAGTGGGGTTTATGTCTACTTCCCCTCCCACTCTGGGACCCTGCACTGCCATGGTCTCTGTGAGCTCAGAAGACAGTCCTGCTGTGCTTGGAAGGCCTTGTTTCCATCCCCACTGGCATTCTGCCTCCTCTTCCTGAGCTTGAGGGAGACAGCTCATTGAGGACTTGGTGTGCCAAGATCTCTCACTCTCTACACATTATCCATCTGTGGATATTGTGTTTCTTCGAGTCTGCTGCAGAAAGAAGCTTCTCTAGTGAGGGCTGAGAAAGACAGTGATCTAGGTGGACAGCGGAATGTTTACGGGAGACATTTTATATTGCCACATTACTTCATCATAACAATAGTATTTGATCTCCCCTATGTCCCTGGCCTCTCTAGGCTCTTGACCACCCAGGCAGTATCGGATATGGGCTCTATCTCATGGAGCGGGCCCCAAGTTCAATCAGATAATGGCTGTTTACTGTTACAGTTTTGTGCCCTGTTGCTGCAGTGTGTTTGCAGGCAGGTCACAATGGTGGATTGAAGGGTGTGTGTGCTGGGTTGGTGTTCACCTTTCTCCTCTGACACTATGAGAGTACTGGCTAGTACCTTGGATGCTAGTCAGGGGTACAGGCTCTAGGTAAGTGTCAGCTTGACTTCTCCATGTCCAGTGAGTTGTGTTTTCATTTTCTTCTGCAATAGGGTCTTACAGTCAGTTAATGGGGAACATCCAGTAGTCCTGACAACACCCTGAGTTATCTGGGGCTATTCATGGGGCCCCTTTGGCCAACAACCCAATTAGATGTAACTCATTCCTGGAAGTGCAGGCTTCATTTGGTGATGAGAGCTGTCCTTCTTGAGGGTAAAGGGAAGGTGCCCTCATCATGTCAAAGATAGGAATTTGAGACCAGGGAATGTTTGCACAAATGACCCTTGTTCTGTGACCCTATTTTTCCTACCCTCGCTCTACTCTGCTGCCCTTAGACCAAGTCCCTTGCCCTCTCACCCTTTAAAACTGTCTATTCTTTGTCTAATTGAACACATACTAAGTGTTCAATTCTAACTCCACCTCTGTGTTTTCAATTCCTTATGAAAACTTCAGTGTCATAAAATATTGAAATATATGTATGCTTATTTTCCCTCTAGAAATGCTTCTGACAGTCTAGCTGAAGAACTCCAAGAGAGTTCCAGTCAAAGTCTTGTTTCCACTACCCTTTGATGGCTTGCTGACACCCTTCTCAAACTTCTCCAAACATAAGATGGATGAACTCAGATCAATTTGCTCCTCTGTAATTCCTGAGTTATAAGCTTACCTTGCTCTGTCCTACTCAAAAGGCAAAGAGTGATGTAAATATCCTGACATAAATTACAGAAATGGCCCTAGTTCTTCTTTGCTTTGTGTTTTGCCATAAGCCATTCTAGCATTCTGAGTCCTTACTGTTCACTGACCTCTAGGAAGGTCAGTGTGAGGGTGAAAGCTCACAGTCTTCTGGGGAAAGGCTGTAAAGAGACTATGATAATTTCAAAATCTATTTTAACTATTGTTTCATGTCAACTGAGTCATTCATAAAGCTTCTTCAGATGTTATTAGCAGCTGAAGAATACTAATGGGATTCTGGGAGTGCGACTCAGTCATAGAGTTCTTTTCTAGTACATATAATTTTGTGTGTTTCCTCCTTAGCACTGCACAAAAAAAAAAAAAAGAAAGAAAGAAAAAACAGGAAGCAAATCATAGGTTCAGGATAATTAGAATATAGAATATAGCACCTGTCATATCTCAGAAATTGTCCTATTTTCTTACAAATATTAGTATTTATAATTAAAACTCTCTGAAAAAGCAAGCAAAGTTGTATCATGTTGTAGGTGTATCATACTATAGGTAGACACTTAGACTTCTGAACTGATTGCTATTTTCTCTAAGACAGTGTTGACAGCTTCAGAAGCTCCTAGTATAAATGGAATACATATCTAGAATGAAGCAAAATGCAGGACATGGTAACATATAGAAAGAAAAATGATTTTGATGCTTATTTTTACTATTAACCTTAATAATTTGTTAACTATTAGGGTTTATAACAATTACATGTTTAAAATGCTAAACAGAATTAAAATACACAAACACACACACACAACTGTTTTATTAACAGCCATAGCACATATCTATATTGTGAGCTTTAATTTTTTTATCATATTTAAAATATAATTCTGTCATTTCTCCCTTCTCTTTCTTTCCTCAAACCATTCCCATATCCCTTCGCTCCAAAACTTTCCATATCCCTTCCATGCTCACTCTCCACATGATTACCTCTTTTTCTTCTACTACATATATGTATAAGCATACATATATGTACATATATGTATATTTATATACATACATGAACATGAACGTGTTACTTGTGTATGTGACTGTGAGCTGACTACTTTGTATTGTATAACCAATGGGAAAGACTAACTCTCTCTCAGCAGTCATTAGTTGCCTGTAGTTTCTCTAGGGCTGGGACACTGAGGGTCTCCCCTCCCCACGTCACAGTGTTGGTGGTGGCACTGTTCAGCTCTAGTTTAGACAGCTTTATTGAGGTAGCATGGGTGTAGCTCCTGGTCCTCTGGCTCTAGGAATATTTGCCTTCCGTCTCCTCGATGTGTCCTAAGCTTCAGGTACAGGAGTTTGGTTGTAGATGTATCCTTGGGACTGGGCACCCAGACTCAGTCCCTCCATTGTGACCAGTTATGGTTTTCTGTCATGGTCTCTGCTGCAAAGAGAAGTTTCTTTGATGAAGCCGTGCCGAGCCACACTTATCCATGTGTAAACAACAACTTTCAGGGTGCAGTTAGAAATCTTGTTGGTCTAGTAAATCAGAAGTTGTAGGTTCTCCTCTCAACTCCATGATCTCCCTGGCTCCATTTAGGCAGCTAAGTTATAAGCTTTTTACAACTGTAAAGATCAGAAAGACTTGATCTGTTTACCCAGAAGTAGATACACAGCTGGGTCACTTTCCACAGGTAGAGAAACCTCGTCTAAAGTAAAGTGCAAACCCGCACTTGTGCATTCATTTTCAAAAGCAGAATCTTTACTATTCATCCGCAGATTGTGTTTAGTACTGTGAAAAACAAGTCTGCGCACTTTGCAAGTTTACAATAAAAATTCCTGACATGTAATTTGCCTATGAGTTCAAAACATGTAACATTCTTATAAAATCTAAGCAGCCCCTTGATTCCTCACTAAATGAACTTTGGTGAATGTTACCAAAGGCTTGTGCTTGTGGCAAAGCTATAAGTATAGTTGTGCCATGACGTCAATGGTGACGGCTGCGTGGAATTTCCAGATTTCACACCAATAACGCAGGGTCATAGCACAGAGGCAGGAAGAGCTGCTGTCTTTGCAGCTGTTACCAGGCAATGCCTCCCTCATGCATACATAGGAGATGTAAAGGATCCATGAAAACTCAACAGAAAAATGTGATTGCAAAGAGTAAATTCTGACCATTGGGTTGCCTTTGCTTATGTGTAATCTATTTCATCATTGATTACATTTTGTTTGTTTGTTTGTTTGTTTGTGAAGTTTTGGGTAAAGAAGCCTTGGTTTCTTTACGACTTGCTGTGTAGCTGTGGTTAGCCTCAGACTCACAGAGATCCAGCTGCTGCAGCCGCCTGAGTGCAGATTAGAGTCAGGTTCCACCACACCCAAGTTTTTGTACTTTCTTTATAATAATGACTGAACGATAGTCTTACAAGATTCTTAAAGATTTGACATCTGGGTCTTCTGAGTTGAGCTCACAGATCTGATCATAAATAACTTCATAAATGGAAGCAATTCCATTATCAACAAAATACATGTCTAGATAGATAAGGTGGAGCAAAACTGTTCTTTTAAAATTTACTGTTATTTTTGTGATTTATTCACAGGCATTTCCCTGCATTTCAACTGGCATTTATGGTAAGTCATTTAACCTTTGATGGTGTTTGTAATTTTGTTGTTGTTGTTAAATTGGAGGGGGTAAGTAATGGTCAACTGAAAAAATAGAAGATTCTTTCATGAATAAATTTTTGTGACTTAGAGAGACTGAAAGTGCAGGCCAAGTCCCACTAAGGAGTCCCTGGGGCTTATCTAGATTGTTTTATGTTCCTGAATCTGGTTACATTGGACATCCAGATGAAATGATTTGACACATGGTATCTCTAAGTCTTTCGTTACATTCAAAAAGATGCTCTGGGAAGGTTGACTTATAAACTTTTTTTTAATAAAGTCAGGTTTTTATCTCAGAAATATATAATGTACATAAAGCCTGACATCTTTGTTTTATTGTGAATTACAAAAACCATTAAAATATACAAACATATATGTATCTTAAGCTCTTATAATATCCAAAGAATGGACTGTTAATAAAAACATAATTTTAATAGCCTGCTAATGTTTTCTTTCCTGGTATTGATGGATTTGTTTTAAGTAGTGAAAAATGAACCTTTTTATCTTAACCTGGTATTCCTTTAAAGGCCTTGATGAGAAAAAGATGAAAAATGCCCCAGCAAATCAAATGAATTGGCCATAGACTTGTTCATACATTTAAGTATGGAAGGCGGACTTCCTCCTCTTCCCAGTGCACTTCAGAAACCCTGAGTCCAGGTGTGGAAGCAGGCGTTGGAGCCTGGGCTCTCCCAAGCCATTCGTACATCTCCTTTGTGCCATTCTCTCTTCACAAATACCTCCTTACAAATCTTGAGTATTCCCTTAAGGGAAGCATTGTTTGTGGGTAATAACGTGCTCAGTTCCAACCTTCAGGGTGTGGGGAGTCTGCCCAGGTACCACGGTGGACATGGCTTTCTTTGGGAGGATGTTCCTTCATCCCAGTCTTGATTTTCCTCAACAATGAACAAGCACGGGACCACCTAAACCACCGCAATGGGCTTTGTCTGTTCCCATGTCAAGCCATTGATGCCCTCTCTTTCTGAAAATATTGTGGTAACGTGCAAAGAATTATTTTTATAGGCTGTGCTGTTAAAAGGGAATACCTAGAAACAAAAACAGAAACTTAAAGGAAGATAAGGAGACTATTTAAATAGACCCCAGAATAGACGGGGAATGCCACGTCCATTCCAAAGTAAACGGATGGCTCAGCCTTCCCATGGCAGGACAAAACTAGTGAGGGCACTTAGAATTTCAGTAGAGTGTCTCATAGTAACTTGATGAAACGGCTCTAGGCTTTATTCACTCTGCTCATTGCCGCGAGGAAATACCTAGCAAAAGCAACTTAAAGAGGAAAAGACGTTACTTTGGCTCTTAGTCTGAGGGTGCAATCCCTCGTGGTGGGGAAGGCCTGGCTGAGGGAACCGGAGAGAGCTGGTCATGAAGCAGGAAGAAGTGAATGTTTCTTGGCTCCATCGTCGACTTCTTCAGTTGCCCCAGTCCATGGGGAGTGCTATGAATGCTCAGGGTGGGGCTTTCCTTCTTAGACTTCTGTGGAAATACCGTACAGATTCATGGAGGGTGTATCTCCCAGGCAACTCCAAACCCAAAAGTTGACAATGAAGACGAGTCCTTGCTACTGCTGCCAGGCAAGTGTAGCCATTTCCACAACGTGATGTGGAAGAGTACAGTACTCAAGCCATGGCTTCTCATCTCCATTTTCTTTGTTTTGGGAAACTTATGGATGAGGCTGAGAGCCATGGCAGTTAGGGGCCAGAGACCTGCATTCAGTTTTAATCCATGACATCTATTTCACTAACTTACGGAAAACTCCAAGACGCTGTAGTTTATGGCCCACTGTACATGAGGCAATTTGAAGGTGCCAAAAGCTTTCAGATTAGTCCTTGATCTTTTGGCAGGACATAAATAATGTTGAATGGTTGTTATCTTGTTCTTATTCAGAGCCTTTTTCTTAATTAGTTGCATTAGGTTTACTTTTTCTTGGTTACTGGAGGGTTGCTTAGAAATATATTTAAAATAAAGTAGTCTTTGGCTAAAAAGAAAAGATAAATTAAAAATAATAAAAACAAAATTTCAACATTTGTGGTTCCTGATACAATGGGAAAAATTTTAGAATAATCCTAGGTTCCACTCCCTGCCTGTCTTACTCCATACTGCAAGCCTAGCTAGATTAATTTTTCTGCACTGCCACTTGCTTTGTATTCCCCACCTGCTCAGGAGCCTTGGATTACTCATGAGTTCATCTTCGCTCTCCCTCCCTGGAACACCGGGCACTTTCTATGTTCCCTTAAATCATCATATTTGCAAAAAAAGAGGGAAAGCCCTAAAAGTTCTGCTGAGGATATGAAGTGGTATCCTCAGATTTATATTCTTTTGCATGTAAAAAAAAAAAAAAGTTTAGTTTGCAGCAGCTTTGGTTTGGTTGGTTTTGGTTTTGGTTTTTGAAACACTGTCCTTAAACTTGGGCTCCGGGTGTGTCAGCCCCCTGAGTACTGGGGTTGCAGGTAACCAACATTATATCCAACTTGCATAGTTTCTATTTAAGTAATTAATTTATTGATTTTTGCAATAGAAGTTATTTTTTATTAAATATGTGTCAGGACTAGCATTTTTTCAGAACATCATTTGCCATTCACCCATCCTGACATGTCCTCTGTAATTCCAATCTCACAAATCTTAGAACATATGGATAACAAGCTACAATGCTCCATCTATCCTATAGTAAGCACACTTCTTTATCACATACACACACGTACACACACACAAGACAAAGTCATATGTCATCTGCACTATCTCCTTCCTTGCTTTCTGCTCATACCACAAGAAGAAACATGCTATGCATATCTGAACAGGTTCCATTTCAGTCTCCCAGAAGCCTTGAGTGACCCGCCCTTAAAGATCATGGCACCTCCTGAAACCTTGGAGCATTTGGACATGGTGTGTAATTCCTCCTAATGTTACTCCACAGTTTTCCAAGTCAGGCTTATAAGCATAGGCAATTTGGATTCTTACGATCATTACTTTGTGGTACAAAATGTCAAACCCAGGGATCTTTCCCTTGCTAGGCAGGTATTCTACCACTGAGCTGTACCTCTTTTTTATTATCATCATTTATTACAATTTATTCAATTTGTATCCCTTCCCTCATCTCCTCCCAATCCCATCTTCCCTCCCTTTTCTCCCCCTGTGCCCCTCCCCTAGGCGACTGATAGGAGAGGTGATCAGAGAGCCGGTCACTGAGTTCATGCCAGAGAAAGCCCCTGCTCACCTTACTAGGGATCCCACTTGAATAACTTTGGGCAGAGGGCATGGAATTTTATGAAAGAAGAAGGAGATGGAAAGACCTGGAGGGGACAGGAGCTCCACAAGGAGACCAACAGAGTCATAAAAACTGAGTCCTGGGGACCCTGAAGAGAATGATACCCCAACCAAGGACCATGCATGGACAGGACCTAAAACTTTGGCTCAGGTGTAGCCCATACACTCAGTATCTGAGCTGAACCTCTTAACATTCAGGCTTCTTCTAGAATCAGAACATCCTGGTCCATATATTTTGCCTGCTGCATACAGTAGGACGCTGTGTCCATTGATTAGGAAATATTGTTGTTGATAGTAAAAATGTCACACAAATTGTGTAACTGAAGATATAGAAAAACAACCTTTTGATTGTCAAAAGAACTGGCAGAGAAAGCTAAACTGTTGTCTTTTTAAAAAATCTTCCCCTGATATATAAAATGTTATGTTTACTCACCTGGTGTCATGGAATGTTCTGCTATGTGGATACACGGCGCAACGTTCAAATGAGGCTTTATATAACCATCACCTCAAGCATATTTGTGCTCAAAACCTAGAATGTCGTTTCTCTTTGCTTCTCAAAGTATGTAATGCTTTCTGGTTATCTGTGGTCACTCTGTCCAAATGGTATTTTCTTGATTGGTAAACACCACTAATTTAGGGAAAAGGGGCATTTGTAAAAAGCAGTCTTAAAATGGAATTGGTATTTGTGGGCATGAGGGGTCAAAGGATCACACAGAAGTTGCTCATTTGAGAGCCCAGGCTGAACAGGGGATTCACATACCAGAAATCCTCTGTGGTTTGTTACAGCTCCTGGGACTATGCTCAGTGGGGGAAATACAGGCCAGTGAGATCAGTTCATGACCTGCCTCTGTCTGGTCTCCACAAGGCTTCTCTCAAACCAGTTAATTGTGAAAAGCTCCAGGAGGTCATTCAGGACAAGAATGAGAACTGGTCTCAGTTCCTAGAGTGCCTTACAAAAGCCCTCTGACAACATACTAGACTCTGAAAGTCCAGAGGATAGGCCACTAACTCTTGATGGCCTATTTTTTTTTCCCAGAGTTACCCCAACATCAGGGCTAAGCTTAAGAGCTTGGAGAAAGGACCTCTGACTCCACAGGCAGACGTCTTAGTGCTGGTCTTTAAGTTATACTGTGGGAGAGATGAGAAAGCCTGCAAGCAAAAATACCAAATACTTGCCAAGGCCATCCGACTGGCCTCAGCAACTAACTACTCAGGCTCCCTTGCCTCCTAAGGCACAAGGACCACAGGGTCCCTGTTTCAAATGTGGTCAAGAAGGTCACTGGGCCCTAACCCTTGTAAGCCACCAGGGTCCAAAATGTCCAAAATGCTACCAAAAGGGACATTGGAATGTTAACTGCAACAGTTTCTCCCATGGTATGGGGCCATCACTCCCAGATCACCCTCCGGCGATTTCCCAGGCCTGGCTACAGACCACTGAAGGTGTCCGGGTTCCCTTGACCTGACCACTGCCATCACTATCAGGGAGCTATGGGTAATCATCATGGTATTAGGGTAGCCCATCTCCTTCCTTGTGACACTGGAACCACTTACTCAGTTCTGACTATCTCCTTCTCGTCCCCTTCTTGTCAGGGTAGGGGATGGGCTTGCCAGCCTTTCTGGACTCCACCACTCAAGTGTATTTTCAGGGGCATTCCCTTAACTCCTTCCTTTTAGCGATGCTAACCTGTCTAATT